TCTACTTCAGACATGGTGGGCATCAAAGAAACTCCATGCGGAGTTTACTTTTCTTTGTGGCAAAGTTAGACACTGGGCAAGAAAGGGCTCATGCCTTGACTGTTGACAGTATGCTGTCCAAATTGGACAAGCAGGACACAAAAGAAAGGACTGCTAAGCTCTGACAAGGTGAGACAGCCCTTTAGAATATGCTGCTGCACAGAAACATCTGCCAGATATGCTAGCCTGTAGGCTAAAGATGGATGCCCCAAACTTGCAAAGAATTTTGGGTTATTGTCCAGGCAGCCAGCTCTTTCTGTCATTTCTCACATTTTTTTGTAAGTCATTTGCTTACATTTCCTGCTTACTCAGGTAATACTATTTCCTTCTTGGGTCTCTGATGTAGTTGAAGACTTTATAGTTATAAATTTTTCTTGTTACCAGATTCAGAAAAGAAGTTCACTGAAGTGGTATAAAATGTATAAGGTTGATCCACGGGACTAAGTAAGCTTGGGCTTGTTTCTGGCCAGCCTTCCTCTGCCCAGCTCAGAAACACCTGAGGCCTAGAGACTGCTCACAGGGCAAATCCTATCCCAGAGGGTTCCAGCCCACCCAGAGACTGCCAAGGCCCCAGTACCAATCCTGACTCCATCCATGGGAAGAGGAGAGATATCACAGTATTGGACCTATTTGCACCCACCAGAAGGGAATGTTGGTCCCGTACCCACCAGGAGAATAAGAGACTCCCTCTACACCCACTGGATGAAGGAATGGGTAGAAGACAATATAAAAACACATTTAATAACAGAAAAACCAATATGTCACGACTGGAGTCTAGGAACTCTACACCAGCATGACCTGAACATCACAACGCATATGTAGCAGAAGAGAATAACCTTAAAAACATCTTGATGAAAATGACAGAGGGCAACAAAGAGGATATGAGAATATTCCTTAAAGAAATGAAAGATAAAAACCAAAAATAATAATAATAAAAGCAATATACAGCAAGCCAAAAGCCAACAACAACATAAATGGAGAGAAACTCAATGCAATTCCTCTAAAATCAGGGACATGACAAGGCTGTCCACTCTCTCCATATCTCTTCAATATTGCCCTTGAAGTTCTACCTAGAGCAATAAGACAACAAAAGGAGATCAAGGGGATACAAATTGGAAAGGAAGAAGTTAAACTTTCACTATTTGCAGATGATATGATAGTCTACATAAGTGACCCAAAAAAATCTACCAGGGAACTCCTACAGCTAATAAACACCTACAGCAAAGTGGCAGGATACAAGATTAACTCACAAAAATCAGTAGCCCTGCTATATACAGACAATAAATGGGCTGAGAAAGAAATCAGAGAAATGTCACCCTTTACCATTACCACAAACAACATAAAATATCTTGGGGTAATAACACTAACCAAAAAGGTGAAAGACCTGTATCATAAGAATTTTGAGTCTTTAAAGAAAGAAATTTAAAAAGATACCAGAAAATGGAAGGATCTCCCATGTTCTTAGGTAGGTAGGATCAACATATTAAAAATGGCAATCTTGCGAAAAGCATTCTACAGATTCAATGCAATCCCCTTCAAAATCCTAGCACAATTCTTCACAGAACTTAACAGAAAAATTCTCAACTTTATATGGAAACAAAAGACCCAGGATAGCCAAAATAACCCTGTATAATAAAAGAATTTCCGGAGGCATCACCAACCCTGGCTTCAAGCTCTATTACGGAGCAATAGTCCTAAAACCAGCTTGCTATTGGCACAAAAATAGACAGGTAAACCAATCGAACTGAAAATCCTGATATTAACCCATATACCTACGAACATCTGATTTTTGACAACCAAGCTAAATTTATACGATGGAATAAAGAGAGCATCTTCAACAAATGGTGCTGGCATAACTGGATGCTGGCATGTAGAAGACTGCAGATAGATCCATATTTATCGCCATGCACAAAACTTAAGTCCAAATGGATCAAAGACCTCAACATAAATCCAGCCACACTGAACTTCTTAGAAGAGAAAGTAGGTGGTACCCTGGAACAAATTGGTACAGGAGACTGCTTCCTGAACATAAAACCAGCAGCACAAACATTGAGATCGACAAATAATAAATGGGACCTCCTGAAACAGAGAAGCTTCTGTAAGGCAAACGACACAGTCAGCAAGACAAAATGGCAGCCCAAGGAGTGGGAAAAGATAGTCACCAACCCCACATCTGACAGAGAGCTGATTTTCAAAATATACAAAGAACTCAAGAAACTAGTCTCAAAACACTAACTAATCCAATTAAAAAGTGAGGTACAGAACTAAATAGAGAATTCTCAATGGAGGAATCTCTAATGGCTGAAAGACACCAGAAGGTGTTCAACATCCTTATCCATCAGGGAAATGCAAATACAAACAACTCTGAGATACCATCTTACTCCTATCAGAATGGCCAAAATCAAAAACACCAATGACAGTTTATGCTGGGGAGGATGTGAAGAAAGGGGAACAATTCTCCACTGCTGGTGGGAGTGCAAACTGGTACAGCCACTTTGGAAAACAGTTTGGCAGTTTCTCAAGAAAATGGGAATCAGTTTACCTCAAGATCCAGCAATTCCTCTCTTGGGCATATACCCAAAGAATGCAAATTCATACAACAAGGGCATATGTCCAATTATGTTCATAGTAGCATTATATGTAATAACCAGAACCTGGAAGCAACCAAGATGACCCTCAACTGAGGAATGAATGGAGAAAATATCATACATTTACACAATGGAGTACTACTCAGTGGAAAAAAACAATGGCATCTTGAAATTCCCAGGCAATTGGATGGAACTAGAAGAAACAATCCTGAGGTAACCCCGTCACAAAAAGACAAAATGTACTCACTCTTATATGGATTTTAGATCTAGAGCAAAAAAGTAGCAGCCTACAATCCACACTGCCAGAGAAGCTAGGAAAGAAGGAGGACCCTAAGAAAGACGCAAATGGTCCCCTGAAGAAGGGGAAAGGGACAGGATCTCCTAAGATAATGTGGATGATGGGGGGAGGGGAAAGGGAGTGAGAAGAAAGAGAAGGGGAGGGGAGAGGAGGACATGAGAGAGCAGGAAGATGGAGTCAGGGGAGGAATGGAGGAGAGCAAGAAAAGGGATATCATCATAGAGGGAGCCATTATAGGTTTAAAGAGAATTCTGACACTATGGAAATGTCCAGAGATCTAAAAGGTCAACCCCAACTAACAATCTAAGCAATAGTAGAGAGGCTACCTTAAAAGCCCTTCTCGGATAATGAGATTGATGATTACCTTATATTCCATCCTAGAGCCATCATCCAGTAGCTGATAGAAGCAGACGCAGACACTCACAACTAAACACTGAGCTGAACTCTGGAATCCAGTTGCAGAGAGGGAGGAGTGATGAGCAAAGGGGTCAAGACCAGGCTGGAGAAACCCACAGAAACAGCTGACCTGAACAAGGGGGATCTCCTGGACCCCAGACTGATAGCTAGGAAACCCACAAAGGACTGTTCCAGACCCCCTGAAGAAGGAAGTCAGTTTGGAGGTCTGGACAATCTATGTGGCGACTGGTAGTGGATCAGTATTTACCTCTAGTCCACAATTAAATTTGGGAGCCCTCTCCTCATAGGGGGATACTCTCGCAGCCTAGACACACTGGGGAGGATCTAGGCCCTGCTCCAAATGATATGACAGACTTTTAAGATCCCCCAAGGAAGGCTTCACCCTCCCTGAGGAGCAGCAAAGGGGTTAGGATAAGAGGGTTGTTTGGGGGCAAGGGAGGAGGGGAGGGAGAGGGAACTGAGACTGACATGTAAAAGAAACTTGTTTCTAATTTAAATTTAAAGAAGAAAAAAATGTATAAGGTTGAGAGACATAAGAAGATAGTTTTGGTAATTCAAGTTAGAATAGAAAGTGAATTAGGTACAACCTTTTGGACTCACCAAGATAGGATAGATAGTATTTTCTCTGAATCGGTCAACTGATAGTGGAACAGACAATTGTTGATATATTTATTGCCTGTATATATTGTATATAGTTATCGTACTTATTGTATATAGTTTTTCTTCTTAAATTAGTTAACACCTTCTTTCTATTTTTAGGCATAAAATGGAAAATGTGCTGCTATGTTGTTTATACTCTAACAAATAAAGCTGGCCTGAAGATCAGAGAGTGGGGCTAGCCACTATTTAACCATAGAGGTCTGGAGGTCTGTACAATTAAACAGGAAATGATATGGCTAGGCAGAGAGAGAAATATAAGGCAGGAGGAGACAGAACTCTTTTCAGCTGAGGAATTAGCAAGGTAAGAGTTGGCTGTAGCTTATCTTTTCTCTCTTTGATCTTCTAGCATTTGCCCCTATATCTGGCTGCTCATTTTTATTAGTAAGACCAATTAGAAGTGTAAGCCAATAAACCCTTTCCTCCCCAAGTTGCCTTAGTCATGGTGTTTCATCATAGCAACAGAAACCCTAACTAAGACACATACAGAAGGACATTAATAGAAAACATGAACAGAAAAAATGGGAAAAGTAGCTTATAGTACATTCACAATTGACTAATCTCACAGTGAAAATTATATGAATAGAATATATGAATAAGGAAAAATATAAACATAAAAAATAAAAATGCATACATGTATATGATAACATTAAAACATAATGTTGGGTGACAATGGGAATTTATAATATTTTATCAAGTTCAAAAACAGGCTAAACTGAATCTATTATTTAGATGGAACCAAAAAACATTAACTCGCCTCTAAAAAGAGAATGTACTATGTTTGCGTATACTAACTCTTTATTGAATTTATTTTAAGGTAGGAGCTTTTAAAGCTCAGCCAAGCCTCAATGTGCTATGCAGCCAAGAGAACCTTAAACTCCTAACCCAACTTCCTTCACATCCCACATGCTAGGAATACAGGGATGCACCACCAAGCTCACCTTTGTCTAATTTTCATGTTATTCAAACAGTTCTTTCAGAAGACATAAATTGTAACTTACCTGCAAAAACACTGTGGGAGTTCTCCTTGGCCATATAAAGGAAACAGAAATGGAGTGTTGCCATACCGCCCAAGACAGCGAAGAAAGGTTTTGGTAGCTTTGAGACCATCGACAGTACTACTTGTTGTCTCCGGTGTCATTGCAATTGAATGCAGGACAAAATATTGTAGATTGGGGGTTAATTTTTGAGTTTTTAAATATTCAGAAAATGTAGTTTCCTCATATGCTGTGAAAAGAGGAAAATTATCAATTAAAATAAAATTTAATTTCTATTTTTAAAAAAATCCCACATTAATAGCCAAGTCTGTTAAAGGCTAAAAACAAGATACAAGTGATCCTTATTAGTACAAATTTTGGACATGTACTATTGGTCTTAAGAACAAAATATGGAAACAACCTCATTATCCTAAATAAATTGATGAAATAGTTTTTAAGCTTTAAATGATGAATCTTTGTTTAGTATTTTATTGATATGAAAATCCAGGAAGACATTAAACAACTCAATGAATTAGGATGGATGTCAATACCTCAATTCATTAGCATTTAGACTATATAATAATGTCAACACATATCTGAAAATATTAAGATAAAATGCAATGAACTGATAAAATGCATTAGTAAAAATGTCACTTTTGTTATATTTTGCATTTTACTTTGGTTAAATATGTACTTTGCATTCAAACCTAGAATAAAAAAAACTTTTACTGAAAAATAATGAAACTAGTTTCTTTGTGGATGATGGAAGCCAACATACCAACAGTCACACTTCAATAATAAGGAATACCTACAAAACTAATCCTTTCATTATGTAAGAGAAAACAAGCAAAGGTATTACTAGTAGGAAGAAACAATCCTGTGTCAAAGGCCATTACTTCAGGGAAATAAGCTAGGTTAGTAAAAGTGATAGAAACTAACTGACTGACAGTCTCTAAGTTTTGGCACTGGAAAGGACAACTTTATTGAGGCTTTAATAGCAAGAATTGGGTTTTCAGGATTCTATCAAAACAAATCATGATGTAATTCTCATTGAATTTTATATATAAACGATCAAAATAAAATTTAATTTTGGACAATTTTCCAACCCAATGTAGTTAAAAAGCAGCTGACATTAAAACAATAAATCAATTTTCAACAAGCTGAAATAACTGTCCTTAAGATTAAAAGGTTTAAAGCTAAGATTGGAAACCACAGCTTCTCTAAATCTAGAGGTTTCCACTATACATTACATAGCATTTATGTCAATCAAACCAAATACTTCAAGTAAAAGCAGTCCTGAAAAGTGACATCCATACACATTTATAATTATTATTATCATCATTATTATTATTATTGACAAAATAAAGATGAAATAACAAAAAGAATGTCATATATCAACAATCAATTAATAGGGTATATCTTATGAACCAGGTCTTATGTTCAATTCCTACAGCCATACACACATAAATCAAATAATCAGTTAACCATATTATTTTATTTAAAAAGAATAAAAATGATAGGCTGCCATAACATTCTGGCAATGTTGAAAACATCTGTATTATAGTCAATAGAAACACATGGAAACCAAGCACTTGAAATATGACTAGCATGACTGAGAGAATGAACTTTTCAGGATTTGAATGAATTTAAATAGTACCATGTTGCTATGGCTAACTTACTGGATACAGTTGAGTTAGAATGCATTTAAGAATAATTAGTTGTTTACCAAATTGAGGAAGCAGATTAAAATTAAAATCACACATAATTAGCAAACAATATTGGAAAGCAATACCTTTGTATTCATCAGGATGTTCTTCATATTCCATACAAAATGTTAGAAATTTCATAAGCATTCGTTTTTCTACCATTGTAAGTCGTTTGCTATTGAAGACATCCGCTCTCGAACAGGGAACCTGAAAAGTATTTGAAAGTGAAGATGATTTTAGAATGCTTCCTAATGACACAGTATTCCAGATTATACTTTTCATTCCTTTCTCATTACAAGGTCATCATTTCCATTCCATTCTGGCTCCTTCATGTCACCTTCCATCAGTTCTAACAGCATCTCTGTTAACTACAGAGCTAATTAATTTGAGAGCTCTGTTACTTAATTTTGTCAAGTTGTTCTTCATACCATTAAAAGGCCAATGACATGTCACCCCTAATAGGGAACAAATGACAAATGAAATATAGTACTGCTGCCTGAAACTAGCATTTCCTCAACATTAAAATCAACCTAGGGGATAAATGTTCAAAAATATAACATAATGAAGCAAATTTTGTATTTATATTTATAAACAACCGTGCAAAGTTGGAAGTCACTGCCTTACTAGAAAAATGGTAATTGTCCTTTCTTATTCTTCTAAATGAGTAATAGTAACTTTACTCACACAGCTGAACAGCACAGTACCTGTTCCACAATTCCTTCTCGAAATGCAAGAATCCTTGTAACATTTTTAAACTCTGCATATCGACTAACGTTCGATTTGATTAGAAGATCAATTAGTAATCCCCGAGAATAGAGAAGCTGTAGGCAGAAAGCGTTTGAGAAGATACGATCAACTGGAAAATAATGGAAAATGGTAATCACCACACGCATACACACACACACACAAAAAAAACGAAAAAGGTAAAAGACCCAGGCACACACACACACACACACACACACACACACACACACACACACACACACAAGTCTGTTAGAATTTAAGTTTTATATACATTTTAAAATCCAAAACTAATTCATTAAATGTTCACAGTTCATTACCAAAAAACTGTATAGTTTAAAAAGTTTTTTCGTAACTTGTTCTGGCAGTAAAATCTCAGCTCCTAAATGGTTCTTCTACTCTTGTCTGGATGATGTATGAGCATTCATGAGTTTCATTACAGAAATGTTAATGGGTTTAGTTATGAAATCTCTTCCAGGTCTGCTTAGAATCTTACACTGCACACAGTATATCTACATATCCACTGTATTTCCTTCTGAAATATCCTTGTCATCTGAGTGATATGACACCTCAGGATCTGAAGATACAAAATTTTGAACTAGAAATACAGCCAGTTGGTTATAAGAAGAGATGAGTATAGTGGACCACCCCATGCCATCAGTGTGGACAAACCAACCAAAATCAAGCAAAATAACCTCAAATAGATTTATGATAAATTTCCATAAAAGAGTCAAATTCTAAGCCCCTCAAAAGTTTATATGTTATCTGACCTTTTCAAGAAGTGAACAATTTTACTATTGATATTTCTATGAAGGACTGACTTAATCTTTCAGCATACATCATAACTAATACCAGAAAGAAAAATACAACTTTAAACAGTATTATTTTCTAGCATGTTTGAAATTCAACCATATGTATAAATATTATACCTGGCTATTTCCTATGATCATGGTACTTATAATTTGTAACTCAATACATAAAAAGATAAAAGCTTTATCTATACTAACTGGAGAAAATTAAATAAAATGTTTGACTATACAAAAATATGGCAGCTCAAAATTTTGATCTCATTCATAATTTGAGCAACCAAGAAGATGATCTGCTAATTAATATTAATTATGGGCAATTTTGTAAACTATCATAGTACTTTAGTCTTGTGCTAACCAAAGTTAGTGTCTCAATTTTAGAAATTCATCCAAATACTCTGACTAAATAATTATGCCATGTTATTTAATTACCTCATTCCTAACACTATAAAGCTGATACACATTATTTTGAAAATGACAAGTCTTAACTCTATAGAATAAATGTTGTTTTTCATTTGTTTAAAAAATAATTATTTCTGATGTAATACTCCATGAAGAGGCATAATTTTAAAAATATTAATACAGACCAAAAATTCATTCTTAAGTCAAATAAAGCTTAAAACAAGTGAGTTTCAGTTTTTACAGAAGAATAAAAACAAATATTAAATAAGTGATCTACCATAGCAATTTCACATTGATGAGAGAAGAAAAAAGGTGCAATTACACTAAAATAATCAGAAGCATTTTAAACATTTTTTTTGTCTATTTGGCACATTGGCTCAATAATTGAAGTATATAAGCTTACTTAGAATCTCTTTTAGTTGAAAAAAACTTTTATGTTGATTGTTTTCTAAAATTCTGAGTAGTACAGTATTGTATGTAGGGAAATATTCATATTTCCACTCTCTAAGTTCAAAGTGAACAGGGGAATGGACATACGGATTTCATCAGCAAAATGTAAGGTTGTCCCTTCCCTTTCTCTATCACACCCTTTACGGCAAGTTTGACTAGAAATTTTACTATTATTCTCAACAAAAGTAACCTTGTTCCTTATGAACCCAATGCAGTATTGAAGCCTCCCAAGATCCAGCAACGTCATCAGAAATTACAATGAGCTAACATTAGAGTTAATTATGGAAGCACCAGCAAAGACAAAAGAATTCTTCACATCCTTTGCCACCGGTAGAAAGGTATGCTCCAATGTCCTCAAACCTGACCACATGATTTTTAAAAATGCATTTGTTTATTTGGAACACTTATATTGAGGTCAATTTCATAAGGACTAAAAACACTTTTATAAAATTTATTGCCAAGAATGAGATTTGAACACAAATTCAATAGAATTTTTCTTCTGATGAAATTCATAGTGCCCACAAATTAGAATATTAGGATGAGCTACTTGCCCTTTACAATAGCATTCTTTGTGTACAAAAATATTTAGAATAGTTTAAAAGTGCAGCAAATATATTCATACTAACATTCTAGTGCACTTTTAACCTATGCTTAAAACAGCTATTTTGTAACTGAATTATAAAATTGTGTTCACAATCTTTATATAAAACAAGCACTTTTCAATTCAGAAACTAAAATGAAGAAAAGTGCACTTAGAGATCCAGATGCTACTTTCAATATTGTTGTTCTATGCTAAGATGTATAAAATTGGTACTTACTTTTGATACTAAATCAACATTAAATCGTCTTCCTTCTTTTATAATCTGTGAGTAAGTAATTCTATTTTTCTTTGGTGGCTCTGTGTTGTCTTGTACTTTAGGCACATTTTCACTTGTCTCTTCTTCTGAAGGTTTATCATCGCTATGATTTTCTTTTTCTCCTGCTGCTTCAGCATCATTTACTTCTAGTGAACTCTCTGGATCACTGTTCTGAGTGTGATCTGCTGGTGTTTCACAGCTCTGGGTGCTTAATGACTCATCTGCAGTAGGCAGGCAAGCAGGCTCTGCAGGCTCTATGGAGTGCACGGCTGTCACAGAAGCATGATTTTTCTGCAGTGCACCAGCTTCTTCAACATCTTTGTGCAAATCCTGACTAATAAGAAATTATGATAATAATCAGGATCATGCTTCTGATATTTCTACCCTGCTACAATTTACTTACTGCGTTAAACTTTTCATGGCAAGTGTGATTCCTCTATCCTTGTGTCTTAAGTTCAGGGCATGTATTGTTAAAGTTTCAATATGAAATTTGAAATTTAAGATATAGAAGAGATCATGAACATGAAACATTTTTGAGAATTTAAGGCAGAATTTAGGACAAGGGAATCTTACTTTAAAAGCAAACCAGCACAGTGTAATTATCAAAATTAACAAAGAGCTATAAACCCAACATCATTACAGATTAACACTCCAAATGTATTTCTCTTCTCTAGTCGTATACTTTCCAGGGATAATAGGACCTACCACCAAGTCTGGTCTAAAACTAAACACATTCCATGCAAAGCAGCCAACATTGTACCTGGGGTAGAACAAATGCTCAATAATGGTAACTGTCAGAGGATTAATAGTGAGGCTCTTTGGATTTGGTAGTGTGACAGACATACCTTCAGTCAAGAGGGGAAAATGTGTCATATCACTTTTCCTATTATTTTGTGGTACCTACCGGGTCTTTTCACGTGTTTCCTATTTACTACTGATATTTATTACTCCACTAAAAGCTTCACTTCAAAGGTTATTACTAGAGAGAGCATTCTTAGTAGATTGTTATCTTGATACAACAGACTCATATTTGGCTTGCCTACATTGTGAATTTCTGTTCCAGAAAATCCACTCTTCTTGTTCAATATCTGGTCCCAATTCCTTGTATTTAATGTCTGTTAACTGAGCATATGCTAACTGAATGTTTAAGAGCTAATGGTAGCCGAGCTATGGTGGTGCATGCCTTTAATCCCAGCACTCGGGAGGCAGAGGCAGGGAGATCTCTCTGAGTTTGAGACCAGCTTGGGCTACAAGAGCTAGTTCCAGGACAGCCTCCAAAGCCACAGAGAAACCCTGTCTCTGAAACCACCCTCAAAAAAAGAGCTAACGGTGGCCCTTCTACTATCAAGCCTAAACCCTACCTCCTGAAAAATCTTACTCTTTATGCCTCTCAAACAAGTATCTTCCCTCTTTGAAAATATTATCATTTCATTTAAACTGCTTTCACACCCAACTAATCATCTTGAGTCCCCGTATTTTGCCCCTTATCATGTTTTGTTATATGGGCTATTCTTCTCACCCCTCATAATATCAAAATGACTCTGGTTCCAAATATAATCACATATTAACAGTCTATGTAGGTAGAAAATTTTAAATTTCAAAAACAATCAGACTTATTCTGAGCTATAAAACATGGATGCAGTTTATCTTGCATGTATTTATCAATACCTTTGTACTTGCCCTTTGGTTTTGTAGTACAGATTGAACATGCCTAAGCTACATCCTCAAATATTAAATGTTACCACATCCATAACCTTCTGAGCATCATGTTAGTAACCAAAAGATTTTAAACCTTGCAAGAATTTGGACGAAGGATACTCAGTAAAGTTTATGTCAATATTCTAAAATTAAAAAAGAAGACAATCCGGACGGGCATCTGTTTCCAAGTGCAGTGATCTGAATGAGAAATATTCCCCATAGCCTTAGGCATTCAAATACTTGGTCCATAGGTGGTGTTGCAGTCTGGGAAGTTTGGGAGGGGTGGCCTTACTGGAAGAAGTCCATCATTGAGGATAGATTTTGAGAGTTTAATCTCCCAGTCTACTCCTTTTGCTCCCTCTGCTGCATGTTTATGGATCAAGAGATGGGCTCTCAACACCCTGCTCCACCCACCAAGACACTGTTTGTTACCACTCTTTCTTGCCATGACAGACTCCTTTTTACACTCCCTTTCTTGTGTAAATTGCCTTGGTCATGGTATTTTATCAAAACAGTGAAAAAAGCAAGTACTACCTTGGTTCCAGAGAGTGAGCTATTGTGAACAAACATGGTAGACTGTGGGACTCTGGACTAATAAAACAGTTGAATGCTATTAAGCAGAACTTATTGAACATCCTAGCTGGAGACTGAAAGGCAGTAATGCTGACAGCAATGTGGACTGTAGAGGTTCACCTAAGGAGGTTTCAGAAAGAAACATCTTTAGCAAAAGGCTAGAGACCACTCATGCCATAATTTGACGAAGAAGGAGGCTGCTTTCTGTCTTTAACCTTAGAACATACCTGAGGCTAAATTTAAAAATGATGAACTAATTTCTTTGGCAGAGATTTCAAGGTACCCTAATAATGATGGTCACACGGTGATTAGCAGTTAATCTTATACATGTCTACAATTTAAAAAAGAGGAAATAGGGCAGAAATAAAAACAAAATCTGTAGCTTAGAAAACAGGAACACAAGGGAGCCATGTTGAACACGAGGCTTATGCTGAAGGAAATGAGATCAGGGAAAGGTGATTAAGGAGAGGCCTCCTGCTTGATCCTGGAATAACTCTAATGTTGTCCTCAGAACAAGACCCCTGGAAACTAAGCCTCCAGCTTGTAAAGGATCCAATGGAGTTTCTGCTCCTATGAAGCAACAAGAAAAGCTGCTGCAAATGGCTTTCAGGGGGCCAAATTCCATCCCAAGCTGGCAGCTTTAGAAATATCATCTGGGCAGTGTTGGCTTGAGAGCTATGAAGGATTTAAGAGTAAAGGAGTCGTGGACTCTTTCTCTGTGGTTTTAGAAAGCTACAGGCCAGGCAACAGTGAATAAGGGAGTCCCTACATGATGAACCTAGGAGGGCAAGACATGGTAAGTGCTCATTGTGTGAAGCTGTGAAAGTGAAACCTGGACCCGCAGTGGAGACCCCATGATGGTGGAAATGCCAGAGCCGTGTTGTGATCCAGTATTTCCTCACTATGGCCCTTCTTCCCTTTGGAATGTTAATGTGCATTCAGTGCCAATATATGTTAGATATGTGTAAGTTGTTTTTGATTTTACAGGCGGTTAAATAGGAGATGGCCTAGAAACTCAGAAAAGACACTTTGTGCTTTTAAATAGTGTTACAACTATAAAAGAATAGGAGACTTAGGAATGAAAGGTGGCAATTTAAATTAGATATTACCCCTGCCATAGTCTCTCAGCCTAGACACATGGAGGAGGGCCTAGGCCCTGCTCCAAATGATATGGCAGACTTTGAAGGTCCACCATGGAAAGCCTCACCCTCCCTGGGGAGAAGAAAGGGAATGGGATAAGGGGTTAGTGGGGTGAGGGCAGGGGAGGAGGGGAGAAGGGGAGGGAGGGAACTGGGATTGACATGTAAAACAAGCTTGTTTCTAATTTAAATAAAAAGAAATAGAAAAAAATTACCCCTGCCATGGTCTCAGGAATTCAAATACTTGCTCCACAGTTGGTAGTACAATGTGGCAAGTTTAGGAGGTATGGTCTTCCTAGAGGAATTATGTCATTGAGGGTGGAGTTTGAAATCTTAAGGTCTCATCCTGCCTAGTTCATTCTCTCTGCTTTATATCATGTGACATGTCAGTTACTTTTCTGTTTCTGTGGTAACACACCATGACCAAGGCAACTTACAGAAGAAAGTTAATTTGGGCTAACATTCCCAGAGGGATAAAAATCTCTCATAGTGGGAAAGCATGCCAGTAAGTATCCTGCTCTAACCAACATGTTTACTTACTGGGAATCCAATACCCT